AAAAATTAACAAAGGTCCTGAAGGCTGAGGAAAGGAGTTTGGATCTGAATTGATGGGCTGTGGGGAGCCAGTGAAGATTTTTGAGTGATATGAGCAGAGCTGTTACTTGGGTCATGCAAAGATATTATAGAAAGGTAATGGAAATTATTCCCATAACCACAGAAATAAAATATATCACTAGTGGCCTGGCCCTGAAACCCATCCAAATATGGTAGACAGGAAGATAGAAAATTGATGAGGGATGGGGTATGGTTGTGCTTGTTATTGGTCATGAGATGGGATGGGGCTGGGGAATGCTTCCTACTTACCCCCACCAATTCTCATTATCATGAGAGGTTCTGAAATGGTTAGAACAGGGCAACAATTCTGTGAGTTTTCTGAGATGGATGGAGGAACGAGAAGAAAGGTGAGAGAAAGAGATGGAGGAAGGAAGACAGAAATGAAATCAGGAAGGTAGGAAAGAAGAAAAGGAGGAAGGGGGAAAGAGGTGAGAATAGAAACAGGACCGAAAGGAGGAATGAAGGAAAAAAGAAAGGAAGGAAAGAAGGAATCCTCCTTCCCTCTATCTTCAGGGAGGGAGGGAGGAATACCTGTGTTGTTTGGCAAGGAGAGAAAGGCTTCATCAGAATGAAGATACTTTGAAAGGTTTATGTACCTTCATCTATGCCATCACTGAACAATAATGGAAAATAAATTATTTCCCCCTCAAAAATTGCTTCACTAAAAAATAAGATGCATTGAACAATAGGTATAATTTAGAATAGGAACCATACCAGAATGGAGCAGGAGAAGGGCATTCTTTCTCTACTAACAGGATTGTGCAGTGATTTCTTTTTTCCTTTTTTATAGATTCGGGTGGTACATGTGCATGTTTGTCACATGGATAGATTGTGTAATGGTGAGGTTTGGTCTTTTAGTGTACCCATCACCCAAATAGTGAACACTGTACCCAGTAGGTAATTTTTATTTTTGGTTTTTTGTGTTGGAGTCTCATTCTGTCATCCAGGCTAGAGGGCAATGGCATGCTACTGGCCACTGCAGCCTCCACCTACTAGGCTCAGGTGATACTTCCAAGCTAGAACCACAGGCATGTGCCACCACACTAGGCTAATTTTTTTATTTATTGTAGAGATGAGATTTCACCAAGTTGCCCAGGCTGGTCTCGAACCCCTGGACTCAAGTAATCCTCTTATCTCGGCCTCCCAAAATGCTGGGATTATAGGTGTGAGCCACTGCGCCCAGCCTAGGAATTATATTCTTTTTCTTTTTCTTTTCCTCTTTTTATTTTGAGTTGGAGTCACTCTGTCACCCAGGATGGAGTGCAATGGCACACTCACAGCCACCACAGCCTCGACCTGCTGTGCTTTGGTGATCCTTCTGCCTCAGTCTTCCAAGTAGCTAGAACTACAGGCACACACAATCGCACCCAGTTAATTTTTTTATTTATTGTAAAGATGAGGTATTGCCAAGTTTCCCAGGCTGGTCTCCAACCCATGAATTCAGGCAATCCTCTCACCTCGATATCCCAAAATGCTGGGATTATAAGTATGAGCCAGCATGACCTGTCTGGTACTTTTTAAATCCTCAGCCCCTCCCACTCTCCCCTCTTATGGAGTCCCCAGAGTCCATTCTTTCCATCTATATGCCCATGTGTACCCATTGTTTAACTCCCACTTATAAGTGAGAAAATGTGGTATTTGATTTTCTGATTCTGAGTTATTTCACTTAAGATGATGGCCTCCAGATCCATCCATGTTGCTGCAAAAGAAATGATTGCATTCTTTTTATGACTGCATAGTATTCTATGGTGTATAAGCACCACATTGTCTTTATCCAATTATTCGCTAATGAAAACAAAGAACGCCACATGCTCTCACTCATAAGTGGGACCCGGACATTAATCACAATAACACAAGGGAGGGATCAGCCATTGCAGGACATTGCCAGCAAAGGGGGAGAGGCACATAACAACACACAGGCTGCCTGGTCCTAAACCAAGGGAAGTGAGGACCAGTTGAAAACCCAAATTTCACCTACGCTAGATTACTTATGTACCTAATCCTGACCTTGCACCCCACATCTCTGTAATAAAATAAAGTTGTATAAAAAAATCATCTGCTGATGGACACTTAGATTGATTTCATGACTTTGTATTGTGAATAGTGCTGCAATAAATACTTGACTGTTGATATCCTTTTAATAGAATGCTTTATTTTCCTTTGGGTAGATACCCACCAGTAAGATTCTTGCTCTGAGAAATCTTTACTATCCTGAATAGGGTCAGTTTCACCATTCTACTTGCTGAGTTCTCCCAAGAGGCTCTTTCCTAGGCTCAGATCTGACATTAACCCACCAGTACTGTCATGCTAGTAGTTTAAACATGAAATATTTCTGTGCCAGTTGAGGAACAGTCACTGCCCCCAATACCCAGGCATCCTGGCCTCTCTTCAAGATCCAGTCACTCAAGGGTGGTATCTGGCAACAGAGGCCTCCTGTCACTAATATCCACCCTGACTCATATTCAATATTTTGATCACTTTTATTAGGATGGATTCAAGGGGCCTTACCCTGCCCTCTGGGAGGTTGGTGCCAAAGGTGAAGAGGACAGATGGGGCTTTGAAAGAATGGCTCGACTCTCCCAGAAGGCAGCTAGCATCCTCTCAGATACCTGTGCCCTTAGTCGTGGAGACCGACTGATGATAATCTTGCCCCCAACACCGGAAACCTACTGGATCTGCCTGGCCTGTATGCAACTGGATAAGGCATGTGAGAGGGACTTCTAGGTCTGAAGGCTCAAGTGAATCCCAGCCTCAATCATTCACAGAATGGAGAGATTTTAGAGAGGTGTTCATCTGATACCTGAGTTCTTATCACAGTGTGAGAATCTTTAAACAGACCTGGGTTTAAATTCCAGCTCCATCGCTGACTACCTTTGCAACACTGCACCTCTCTGAGTCTTGGTTTCCTTGTCTATAAAATAGGGACAGCAATGCTGCCAGTCTTATAGGATTGTTGTGAAGATTAACATAGAGTGCCTGACCACCTCGCAGACCGCTTATCTCAGGGAAACGTAGAGCTCTGTCCAAACACAGTCAACATCAAAGTGGAAGACTGAGTAAACATGCTTTGCCCTCTCTGGACCTCAGTTTCTTCATTTCTAAAAAGAGAGTGTAGGAACATCTGTAAAAGCTCCTCTATATCCAATATAAAACAGTCCTTGAGGGTCACCAAAATGAGCTTGGGACCAGCTTGTGGTTATTGCTGGGATAGAGCTGCTTCTTTGGACATTCATGCCTCTGAGGCTCACTGCTCCAACACAAATATGACTAGCAATAAATGCTTCAGTCATGTGCCAGGGAGAAGTGAAGGATACTGAAAAGGAGCCTACCCCTAATATCATTCTTCTTTGTTTGCTATGGCACTTGACTTTCTATCCTTAGGATGGAGACATACTCGTTTTTTTTTAGTCAGGAGGCTCCTATGAAAACCAAAGTGGGATGAGCCAAATTCATATCATTAGAAGTTGCCACAAATAGCCTAGCCTATTGCCTTTGCCTGCTAACAGGACTACTAGATGAAAAGCAAAATAAATCAAACAACAACCAAAAAACAAAAAAACAAAAAACAAAAAACAAAAAATACAAGGTGTCAGTTGTAGGAGGCACACAAAGAAAGTAAGGGAGTGATCCCTACCTTCAGGTCTACCCAGGCTCCTGACTGTTCCAATTTCCAAGGGACTGAGTTATCCTGAGGGACAAATGATCTGTATCTGAGAAAGGACATGGGACCACTTCAGGTAGGGCAACCAGAAACTCTTCCTACCTGAGGCTAAGTTACACACAGTGATATCCTTGGCTATATCCAGTACAATGGTGGAAGAGGAAGGGCTATCATTTGCATTTAACAGTAATTAAAATGGTTTACTAATGGTACAAGGATAAATGAACAAAAACAAAACTGAAAGCCCAGAAACAGACATAGTATGCATAAGAAGTTGTCATGGCATTTTAAACCAGTAATGAAAGTATGGATTAATTCTTAAATAATTTAAAAATAACTGTTTGAAAACATAAAGTGACATAACTCTACCCCCCAAAAATGGACCAAAATAGATTTCAAATGAACAATTAAAAATTGAAATGTCAAAGAAAACCCAGGTATTAGAAGAAAATATAAGGAAATACATAATCTCAGGGAAGATATAGATATGATATCAAATACCCAAACAAGAAAAACAGTGTATTACACTTTATAAAATTTTTAAAATTCCTTTTGTCAAAAAAAATCACCATAATGTACAAGATGCATCTGTATGACAGATCTAGTAAAGGGACCAGCATGCACACCTCTCTTTCTCCATATATATGTGATCCTTCTATATAATTGCATCTGACATGCCCTTTGGGTGACATCCAGCAAGTTGCAGAGTAACTGCTCTAACAACACATGGGTGCTCTACCAATTGTTATGAAATATTTGATATGATAAGTCAATTGGTTTTAAAAATACATGTTCATTCTCACAAGAAATTTCAACATTACATCTGTAAACAAAGAAAAGGAGGAACTGTTAGATTATTTTTAGATACATTTTTATCTATAAAGTTCTAATATTTTTTCTTAAAACACCACAGATGAAATTCAAAGACTAGCTTAGTCCATTCAGGCTGATAGAGCAAAATACCATAAACTGGGTAGCTTATGAACAACATAGACTTATTTCTCACAGTTCTGGAGGCTGGGAAGTTCAAGATCAAGGCAGATGGTGTGTCTGGTGACAGCCAGCTTTCTGTTTCATATATGGATTTTTCTAGCTGTATTCTTACATGATGGAAGGCATGAGGAGTCTCCCAGGGGCTTTAAGGCCACTAACCTATTCATTGGAGCCTACCCTCATAACTTGATCACCTTTCAAAGGTCCCACCTCCTAATACCATCACCATGAGGTTTAGAATCTCAACATATAAATTTGGGCTGGGGAGGGGAACACACACATTCAGACCATGGCAAAGACAAATGCCAAAATAGAAAAAAATTGTTTGCAACATATGAGAGATAAGTGACTGATTACTTTAATATAGAAAGAGTTCTTACACATCAACAGAGAAAATAAAGTAACGCTATTTAGCACTGCTTTTCAAATGCTTCATCTAAGTGTGGGGATACTTAAAAGGTGTTTGCAGTTATCTATAGACAGATAGCTTATTTATGTTACTGACGGTTGCAGTTTCCTATCTATACTAGATGCTAAAGGATCACTTGATGGCGATAAGATAACAGTGAGTGACTTTGAACAAGTCTTTTTCACTTTGTCCCTCAGTCTTCCCATGAGCACATTGAGAAACTTGAACTAGATGAACTCCCCAGTCCATTCCAGATCTGATTCCTTATGACTTTTGTTTTGTGGATATAATTTACAGACCATACAATTCACTATTTTTAAGTGTACAACCCTGTAGTTCAGTATATTCACACAATTGTGTGACCATCACCACCATCTAATTCTGGAAGATTTTCATTACCCCCAAAGGAAACCCACATGTGTTAGCTGTCACTCCACATCTCCCTTCTCCCTAACCTCTGGCAAACATGAATCTACATTCTCTCTTTGGATTTGTCTCTTCTGGATATTTCACATAAATAGAATAATGCAATATGTGGCCCTTTGTTCCCGGCTTCTTTTATTAGCATAATGTTTTCAAGGTTCATTTATGCTGTAACATGTGTCATTACTCTATTTGTTTTAATGAATTAATAGCACTTCATTGTGTAAATATACATGCCACATTTTGTTTATCAGTTTATAGATATTTAGTTTGTTTCTATGCTTGGGCTATTATGAACAATGACCTTCTCATAGTATCCAAGAGATTTCAATGTAAGAAGCAGAGTGTATAGAAGGGAGCATAAGGATTGTTGCAAGACAATCATAGTGGCATCATAAGTTGCTCCCAGACATTCTCCAAGCTTGAGAAGTCAAGGAAAGCCTCTGTTAGGACAGTATGTGCCAGTCTCATAGGAGGCTCTCAACTGGTGGATGAAAGAGAATCTACAGAAACAGCCCAAGAAGAGAGGAAAGAACTGTTTTATTTCCAATGCAAATTCAGGAATCCACAGTACAAGCCATTCTCAAGCAAGGAGAGAACAACAAAAGAGGAAGTTTTCATAACTCCCTTGCACTACAGTTGCAAAATCCATTTCAAGTAGCAAGTAGTAGCTGACACCTAACCTGTAAACTCAGGACTGCCTGAGAGGAAGAGATAACATCAGCAGAGCCACTCATAGCTGGTTTGCTTCAATGAGTTCAGTCTCCTACCCGTCTCAGTTCTTCCCCAGCTGCCATTGTGTCATTGGCCCAACAGAAGGGAAACACCCCAGAGAGAGATGGTAATTCAGAGATCCCATCTGTGCCTGCCAGGACACTTGGGGAAATATTCTCTACTTAAAAGATGTGAATGAAGCATTCTTTCATGGTGTTTTAGGAATCACCTTTATACCTGGGAGCCCCCAGCTGCCTGCCAAGGAAATTTGCTGTCGATTACGCATGTCTAAGGCCCAGTGTGTTGTGTCTGGTGAGGTTATGGCTCCAGTCGTGGACTCTGTCATGTTCAACTGTCCCACCTTGAAGACCAAGCTACTGGTGTCAGATAAGAGCTATGATGGATGGCTGGACTTCAAGGAGTTGTTTCAGTAAGTGATAACAAAGCAAGCTGCTTAAGTCAAGAAAATGTCGGATTTGGGAGGATGGGAAGATGTACAAGAAGGTGGGGTGAGTAGTCAGAATGGGAAGCTGGACAGCAGACTATCCCCCAATACAAAAACCCCTGGTCTGGCTTAAAAGTTCTCAGTCTGAGTAAAAGTCTCATCTCCTGACTTATACTTGAGCATTCATTCTGGAAGAGGGTATAAAAAATAGGTGATAGAAGTATTAATGACCAGTAATCACATTACAAAACATGACAAAAAAAACATACCCTCACTGAGAAATAGGAAAATACTTAGTGAAACAATGAGATGATGCCATGTTCATCCTCTGATTAGCCAAATATAGTAGCCCCCCTTATCCATGCTTCCGCTTTTCTGTAGTTTCAGTGCTTGTGGTCAACCATGGCTCAAAATAAGTGAGTATCATAAAATATTATGAGAAACAGGAAGAGAAAGAGAGACACCAGATTCATATAACTTCTATTACATTATATTGTTATATTTTATTATCAGTTATTGTTGTCAATCTCTTGCTGTGCCTAGTTGTATCAATTAAACTTTACCGTGGGTATGTGTGTATAGGAAAAAACACAGTGTACATAAGGTTCAGTTACTACTCGTGACTTCGAGCATCCACTGGGGGTCTTGGACCATATCCCTCAAGCATAAGGGGGAACTACTACTGTATCAAATATGATAACTATAAAAGTGGTTATTAGGAGGCAATATTTTAGTGTCCAGAAATGTAAAAGTGAGCAAGACAGACAAAGTCCCTGCCTTCATGGAGTTTATATTCTAGAAAACAAAATAAATAGCAAAGAAAACACAAAAATTCTCAAAATAATACAGATTCCAAAAGAAACTCCAAAACACAACCAGGTAAATGAGATAAAGTGACCTGATATGGAGATGAGGGAATTATTTTAGATGGTGGCTTCTGAGAAGAGGACATTTAAGCTGAGATTTGTGCACACCACAGAGCCAGGTTTTAGAAGATCCTTGGGAATCGTGTTTCTGGTATAGGGAACATGAAGGAGCAAGACCTGAGATGGGCACCAGCTTGACCTGTTTGAGGAACAGAAAGAATACCAGGGTGCCTGAAGTGTGTGAGTGAGGAAGAGAGTAGGAGGATAGGAGGCTGAAGAACAAGGGTGGGAGGGACTGCAGCGGGTCTTTCAGGCCATGCAGGAGTCGTCTGGAAAACACTGAGAGAAGGACTTGGTCTGAGTGACATTTCAAAAATTCATTCAACTGCTGTATGAACAATGAGAATTTTAAAAAGGTGATAAAGAGACCTAGCAGAAGACTTCTGCAGACATCCAGGTGAGACAACAAGTTGGTGTGGGTCACAGTGGTGGCCATGAGACAGGACTGCGAGGCAAATGAGGAATTCGTCTTGGCCACAAAATTTAAAGGGGCACTGAAAAATTCAGTGATCAAAGAAATAATATCTTAAATTTAAAACACAATTTTGAAAAATTGAATTATAAAACAATTTTTGTAATTAAAGTTTAAAAATCTATATACAATTTTAAATATGTATTACATATGTTTATATCATGTTTGCAATTATTCATTTCAATAATTTTATACATTTTTAAATAAAATAATTAAAAATATTTTAATTCAAAAAGTCAAATGGGCAAACTTCTGCCGACAAGCCAGCTCCTATCTTTATAAACAATGTTTTTTGAGGATTTTTGTTTTTGTTTTTGTTTTTGAGTTGGAGTCTCACTCTGCCACCCAGACTGGAGTGCAGTGGCACGCTCCTGGCCACCGCCGCCTCGACCTGTTGGGCTCCAGTGATCCTTCTGCCTCAGCCTTCCAAGTGGTCAGAATACAGGCACTTGCTACCACGCCTGGCTAATTTTTTTTATTTATTGTAGAGACAAGGTCTCGCCAAATTGCCGGGTGGGTCTCGAACCTGTGGGCTCAGGCAATCCACTTGCCTCGGCCCCCCAAAGTGCTGGGATTACAGGCTAAGCCACTGAGCCTGGCTCAATAAAGTTGTATTGAAACCAGGGACAGGATTAGGGTGATCAAGTGAGATGAGTCATACAAGTACCAGATTGAGCATAGGCTGTGTAAAACTATACCTTGAAACCTGGCTAAAATTTATTCCCAAACCATAGTGGAAATATTTGACCAGTTTGGGAGCTCTCATTGTCCCATCATTATTTAAAATGTTGATATTTTATTTATTATGAATTTATGCAGTAGTTTTTTTAAATATTTCACTAAAAAATGATTTATCTTCACTCCTGAATGTGATGGCATCCCCTAAAATATCATGAATATGGCAAATGTTCCACTTGCTTCACTCCAGTCCCCCAACCTGAGTAGAGACAGTGAAGAGAGACAGACTCATGACATGTTCTGGAGATAGAGTCGCCAGGTCTTGCCAATAACTAGGATGTGGTATGGTAGACAGGCGTATGGGGAAAGAGAGACAGCAAAGATTTCCACAGATTTTTGGCTTGAACAATCAAGTGAATAGAGGGCCTTAGACAAGGAAAAAATAAGGCTGGGGTGTAAATGCATCATATAATTCTTGTGCAACAAAAGTCAATGCAAAAATTTTGTAAAGTAATGATCCTTTTGTAGCTCATAAGTGTGATGATTGGGTGTTCACGTGTACATGCAAGATATGCCACCCTCAAACCTTGTTACGACATTGGCACACTACCTGTCTGACAATGAAAAAAATAAAAATTAAAAAACAAAAGTAAAAAATGGCAGCTGCCCCTCTAGCAAATCTTCCCCCAATATACCAAGACACCAGGTGTTATTTTAAAAAATTAGAGCCTAGCCGGGCTCGGTGGCTCAGCCTGTAATCCCGTGCCTTTGGGAGGCTGAGGTGAGCGAATTGCCTGAGCCCGTGGGTTCGAGACCCGCCTGGGCAGCAAGACCTCATCTCTACAATAAATCAAAAAATCAGCCGGGCGTGGTAGCACATGCCTGTAATTCCGGCTACTCGGAAGGCTGAGGCGGAAGGATCGCCGGAGCCCAGCAGGTCGAGGCTGCGGTGACCAGGAGTGGCCACTGCACTCCAGTCTGGGTGACAGAGTGAGACTCCAACTCAAAAAAAAAAAAAATTAGAGCTTACCAATCCAGAAGGCTAGGTTCCAAGTCAGAACCCAAATTAAAAACTTGCTGTTGCCTCTTTTGTGACTTACAGAGTTGCCCCTCCAAGGAAGACCTGCGTGAGGACTGACAGTCAAGATCCAATGGCAATATTCTTCACCAACAGGAAAATGGGTACTCCCAAACTGGTCGAGTATTCCCAGTATGGTCTGGGAATGGGATTTAGCCAGGCCTCCAGGTATCTTCACACAGCCTATACAGGTCTGAGAGCGCCTCTCTTGGGAATGAAGGGAGAGTGTAATGGGCCTAAAACAAAGAAAGGAGTTTCTTCCTCAAGACTGCAGAGTGTCAATATTGAGACAAGGAATGGAACTGAGAACAGGGTGGGAAGGTATATACCAAAGAATCAAAACTAAATTACTATAGATCAAAAATCTAAGAGGATGGGGGAAAAGAGGAAGAACAGAAAATCCACATAGCTGAGAGGGATCCAGCGTGATTATTGTCATTGCTAGTACCACCATGAAAGAATTCACATAGTTTTGCCCATTTCTCTTCAGACAGTGGATGGATCTCCAGCCGACAGATGTCTTATGGAGTCTGGGTGATGCCTTTGGTGGAACTTTATCTCTGAGCACTGCCTTCGGAGCTTGGCTCCAAGGAGCCTGTGTGTTTCTGCATCACATGCCAACCTTCTGCCCTGAGACTGTTCTAAATGTAAGAGCAGTTGTTTGTGTGCTCTGTGCAGGACAAGGGCCAGAAGGGGCTATTAGCCATGATCTACTGACTCATATCTAAAATGGGCAAGAATTCAATTTGGAATGTGATCTTGACTTGAAGACGCTTTTCTATTTCTGAGAGCAGTGCCCTCCCACTTCTCTAGACCCTTTAGTATTAGGAGGACTTGACTATTTCAGCTGTACCACTGAAAAGGAAACTTAAAAGGACATACTGATAATAAAGATGATAGTAATATTAATATCAGCTACCACTTGTTGACTACTTACTGGCACTGTATATGCATTATTTTGTCTCATTTCCCCAACAATGCTGAGGCAAGAACTGGGGAAACAAAGCCTAAGAGACATTAAGTAGCTAGCCCAAGGAATCACAGAAGTGGAACTAGGAATTAAACTGTGGTCTCATGGACTCCAGAGCACAATGTCTAAACTGTTGTGCTAAGCTCTAAACTGCCTTCACAATCAAAAATCTCACTGGCAACATCTAGGTTTATTATTCAAGGCAATAAAGATCTAAACAAGGGTCTTGGGAGATTCAGAAGCAAATGCCTGACTGTGTATCCATTCAGGTATCTGTGATGAACTTGATAGCTCCTAGATTCAGAGAACTAAAGCTAAATTATCTTCCAAGGTTCATGTCTAGAGGGTGAGGAATCACTAAATCCTCAAGATAAAGGACGTGCCCCAGCCGAGTCTCAAAATTAATGTCCTTCTTTGCTGTACCTTTTCCACCCAAAGTCTGATTTTCTCATCTTCACATACAGATTTGGTTTTTCCTTCCTTGGGGGCCCAGGCCCTGTCCAGGTTTCCCATCACCACTCTATCTGGAAACCCATGGATGTACCAGAAACTGCTTCAGCACAAATATTTCACCAGGTAAGAGAGAATCTCTTAGGGTGCCATAAAAAAGACTAGGAACCCTTATTAACACCCATCTTTTTGCCATTTATGACAATTACTCCATTATGGTATAGGATTTTTTTATTCCCTCATCATTTTTGAAGTCTGTATCTTCTGGTCCCACAAGAGTCCAGAATATAAAACTTAATTATAATCAGAAGTTTGGGTTTTTTAATTAGTGGGTAATTGCACCTCCATTTAAGAAGATAAACATTAAAGATAAGATATTACCTGTTTTTAAAAGGTAAATATTAAAGACAAAGACCACCTCCCCCACTAGCTATAAATCCATCTAATCCTTTTAAAAGTAAATGTTATCTATGCCTATCTATTCATTCCCATGAAGCAGGATTATATAGATGATACCATACTTTATAATATCATGGTGAAACTTGCATTTTTCATTCCACACTGCACCTTAGAACTCTATTTATGATAATATGCATAGTATATTTTAAACATTGCCTAGTGATCCTTAATATTAATGAATTGTATGTTAATGAGCCAAGTACTTATCAAAAGTATTTGGATGGTTTCCAAGCTGCTGAAATTAGCATCTTTGCACATATTCTAGAATTCTCTAGGGCACTCATTGAGAAGTAGACATGCTAATCAACATCAATAAAGATTAATGAAAAATCTCAGGTTCCAAAGCTTTGTATTAAGCCTTAGCATTTGCTAAATAATTATTTAACTCTAAGCTTCACTTTAGCTCTGTGAAGAAGGACATATATTCTACAGAAGGAAGCGTTTAGGGTAGCAAACAACACTAGCATATTAAATTATGATGACATGAAGAAATACCTAGTTTGTTGGCATTTTATAGAGCAAGTTAAGAATAGTTATGTTCATAACTCAGAAACAGAACATCAAACACTGCATGTTCTCACTTATATGTGGGAACTTAATGGTCACAAAGATGGAAATATAAGACACACTGAAGACACTAAAAGAAGGGAGGTTAGGTGAGGGGTTAGGGTTCAGAAATCACCTAACAGGTACAATGTTGACTATCTGGGGCATGGGGCACCTTAAGCCCCATCCTCAACAGTACACAATATGCCCATTTAACAAACATGCACATGTACCCCAGAATCTAAAATTTTTTTAAAGTTATGCTCAAATATGGCATATCTTTTTTTTTCCTTTTAATTTTTTTTATTTTAAAGATGTGCGGTACAATTCAGGGTTAGGTATACAAATGTTTGTTATGCAGGTACCCTTGTTGATGAGGTATGCCCCCTCTTCCGCAGGCAGATTCCCACTATTACCAATCCCACTTCCCTGCTCCTCTCCCGGCAGTTTCCACTACTGGCAATCCTTTTCTTATAGTATTACGATAATTGTTCAAGGTCCACTCATGAGGAGAACATGTGATACTCAGTTCTTTTTTCCTGTGAAAGATCACTCAGTATTATAGACTCTAAGTCCATCCAGGTTGCTGTGAAGTTCATGATTTTGTTCTTCTTTATAACTGCATAATATTCTATTGTGTATATGTACCACATTTTTTTATCCAGTCCTCTTTTGATGGGCAGCATCGTTGTTTCCATGTTCTTGCTATTGTGAACAATGCTGCAATAAACATATGTGTGCAGATGTCTTTTTTAATAGAGTAATTTGAGTTCTTCTAGGTATATTCCCAGTAGGGGGATTGCGGGGTCATATGGAAGGTTGAATTTTAGATTTTTTAGGAATTGCCACACTGTTTTCTACAGGGGTTGTGCTAGTGTATACTCCCACCAACAGTGTAGAAGTGTTCCCTTTTCGCCGAATCCTCTCCATCATCTGCTGTTTTTTGAGTTATTGATGATAGCCATCCTGACTGGAGTTAGATAGTATCTCAGTGTAGTTTTGATTTGCATTTCTTTGATGACTAGTGAGGCTGAGCATTTTTTCAAGTATCAGTTGACTGCCATATGTCTTCCAGCTGACTACATGCAGAAGGTTAAAACAAGATCCCTACCTATCACCTTACACAAAAATCAACTCTAAATGGATCAAAGACTTAAATGTAAAATCCCAAACTATAAGAACCTTAGAAAATGCAGAAGACACCCTAATGGAACTTGGAACTGGCAATCAATCAAAACCCCAAGTGCCCATGCCATAAGAGATAAGATAGGCAAGTGAGACCTCATCAAATTGACAAGCTTCTGCAAATCCAAAGAAACCACCAAGAGAGCGGGGAGACAACCCACAGACTGGGGAAAAATATTTACCAACTGTATGTCTGACAAAGGTCTAACAGCTAGGATCTACAAGGAACTCAAATGTGCCGAGAAGAAAAGAACAAACAGCCCCATTAAAAAGTGGGCAAAAGAGATGAATAGTCAGTTCTCAAAAGAAGACATACAAGCAGCCAACAAATATATGACATATAATTTATTCATCCACATGCCATAACCATATAAAATGTTCAGACTACTTCTCATACCCTTAAAAGAAAAGCATTTAAAATTTTTAAAATAGGCAACTCTCACTTATACCCTGAAATTAATAATACAAAGGAAATGACATGATGATGCCTTGAGAGGTAATTCATAAACAGTTTCCCAGTTCTGATATTTCTTAGTCTCAGGTTCTAACTGGGTAGGCAGATGATGTCTTATGCAGACGAGCTATCATGTAACCATTAATTGACATTTTTGTGTTCAAAATACACAGGGTGACCCTTCCTTTATCTAAGACCATGAAGAGTTTTTTTGTAATCTTCTTCCCACAGCTGATCTTTCCACCATCACCACGATCAAATATGCAAAAGTAAATTATAAGTTTATTTTAAAATGTTTACTACTAGTCTATCTGCATCTGAGGTCCCATGGTAATGTCTCATAATATCCAGAGAATTTGAGCCAAATTGTAAAATTGGTGGCTCTCTTTCCATCCACAGACTTTACAAACTTAGTTTCTGCTTTATCCTATTGTTTCTGATTCAGCCTTCACACACAACTCAGGCTTTGGAGATGTACTGAAACTCTGAAGAGTTTCTGCACAAGGCTGGCTTCCTGCCATCAGTTAGTATTGATCGGTTCACTTTTAACATTAATGTCTCTTGTCCAGAAGAGTAAATGAGAATCTTCCTGGAGACAGATCATTATGGGTGTTGAAGAGATTATCTAATGGAGTCGTAATAAGAACTCAACCACCCTTTAATATATAATATTTGGCAATATCTGCATCATTTTTTTCCAAGATTCTTTTTACAACAGACTTGTCATTAGTAGAATAAGTCTAAAGAACAACTTTTGATGCCTCTCCAGCTACAGATTCAAGAGTCTGAAGCATTGCGTGGCTGCAGGAGGATCCATCAGCCCTGGGGTGACTGAGGCCTGGAATCGCATCACTAAGTTGGACATCTATGAAGGCTACGGGCAGACAGAAACTGTAGGTTGATGCTGATTCTCCATTTAGCCAGACACCACACTTACCCACTCACTGTGTAAGCACATTGTCAAAGCATTAGGTACACACTAGAAATGCAGGGAATTAGATCTTAATTACAAGAAGAATTGGCTTAAAATAGAGGGACTCTTCTGCCATTGTAAGACAAAGAATTATGGGTACAGGTAAGTGTAAACTCATAAAAGCAAGAAGTTGAGCTAGCTTCTGTCTGACAATTACTATGTACTCTATGAAATATGAGGCAATGTCATTTGATAAGAATTGAAAAAAGAGTTTGAGTGGAGAATGTTTAAAATTATCTTTGCTGGAAATGTAAGGAAGTAGATTACAGAAATTAAAGAAGAAATGGGCACCCTTGAGGTTGGTGAGCAAGCAGTCATCTTCAAAGTCACTGTCTAAGTAATTGTGTGATTTTCTCCAATATCACTCTAAAACACAGATACAAGCATGGTTAAAGTGGAAAACTGGGTTGAAACAAGATTAACATTTTGCCAAGAAGGTGCAATAAAAGGGCAGTGAACAAAGGATCTAGGGATATTGATAAGAAAATGGCTACAATGAGAGACTAAGAATCTAAGCTGATTAGGGAAGGAAGTGAATTCAAGAAAAGGCAGATCAATGGTGAAAAGACAAGGAACTGGAGATGTCAAGAGAGATGAAAGGACTAAAGGTACTTGTTTCATCTGCTCGGGTTGCTCTAACAAAATATCATGGACTGGGTGGCTTAAACAACCAAAAATTACTTTTTTCCACAATTCTAGAGAGTAGAAGTCCACATGACAGAGGAAAGAAAGAAAGGGAGAGAGAGAGAGAGACAGAGACTAAGTCCTTTGATATCTCTCTTTTCTCTCTTTCTTCTTCTTATTTTTAAAGACAGCAGTGTCACTCTGCTGCCCAGGTTGGAGTGCAGTGGCATGATCATAGCTCTATGCAGCCTTGAACTCCTGAGTTCAAGCAATCCTGAGCATACCACCATGCCTGTTTTTTGTTTGTTTGTTTGTTTTTGTTTTTTAGAAACAGGGTCTTGCTATGTTGCTCAGGCTGGTCTCAAACTCCCAGCCTCAAGTGATCCTCCCTCCTAAGCTTCCCAAAGTAGCCAGAATTGTGGGTATGAGCTACCATCCCCCGTTGGTGCCTCTTCTTATAAAGGAACTGATGTCATGAGGGTCCCAGCACCACCCTCAAGACCTCAATCTAAATTCAGTTACCTTTCAATGGCCCCATCTCCTAATACCATCACATTGAGTGCTAGGGCTTAGCATATACATTTTTCGGGGGACACAATTCATTCCACAGCAGTAGTAGTCAAAAAGTGAGATGCACAGACTTAATATTTCAAAGGTGGAACATTTACGGCTGATGCCAAATTCAAGGATATGGCCACAGGTGGATTGTCATGACACTCCCTGGAGACTAGGGTCAAAGAAGTAAGAGGCCAGGATGTAAAACTAATACATATAGATGTCAAAGGTGCTCAGAGTGATGGTAGAACATGGAGTAAATGGAAAGATTGTGAACCTCATCCTGAAGGTTTAACAGATAAGAGATAACTGGGAGATTTGTAAATTATAGCAACCAAGAGTCTTGGAGGGTAGTAAAGGTAAATGGTGTAAGTCTCAAAGAGACAGTGGTTTAGGAGGTGGTATTGGGAGCTCAAAGGATGCCAAACCCAAAGAATATAGAACAATCAACAGCCTCCACTTGAAGAAAAATAAAAATTAGTAATCGATTCCCATGGAAGAGCAAACGATGAAGACATTCAGTGAAGAGGATAGAGATGTAGCATACTTTACTAACCCTCAATTGATGTTCTATCTAGAAGGTACTATGGAAGATTTTGGAAGGACACAATGGGTCAAGGATCAAACCATCCTGTTCCTGCAACATGAGGATGAGCACATAGGAAAAGAGAAAGAAGCAGAAACGCTATATAATGGATAGACTACAGATAGTAGGAAGGTGAGAGGTGGTACATTTGTGTGGTTGCCAAATTTTTGCATAAATTGGTCTAAAAGTTTTTTAGCTGGATAGGATTAACAGAGATTACATTCGTTGCATTCCTGCTAGATAGTCCATAAAACGGGGTACATTTTATGAAAAGTCACACAAAATATTTTTGAAAGAATTTAAAATTCAAAGTATGTTTCAACCATTGAAATAGCCAACATGGGAAATATAAGATTTTTTTTGAGATTTCTCACTTTTATTTTGTATTTTACTACCAGTTTATAAGTTAATATAAGAAGGGAATTCCATAATCTTGGCAACACCAAAGCCTTTTCATTGGACTTACTTCTGTCCTTACACTTCCAAAGGCATTCTGTGGTGAGTGAGAGAACCTCAGCTTGCCTGAAGGAAGACAAAAGCAGTTAGGATTGATTGCCCAGGCTCTGCGGAGAGGTTTATGATTTGAGGCCCCTGATAAAGCCATATGGCTTAGAAAATACCCTCACTTAGAAAGTTAAAGAAAGCTCAGAAGACAAGGTTTAAATCTTCATGACCTCACGGTAAGGCTCACACACTGGTAAGCAGGTTGATTCAAATCTATGAAAGAGGGAACCTGAGAAATGGCCCAATTCCATCTCAGATTCTGTCTATGTCATACTCATAGATTCATTTAATTAAATCCAAAAAAGTTAACATTTCACCACCCATTCCTGCTATCTATAGTATATCCATTGTATAAGCTCCTCTGCTGATTTTTCTTTTATTGCATTCTCATCCTCATGCTGCTGGGTCAGGGTTGTTTGCTTCCTGACCCTTTCTCTCCCTCCAGAATATTTTCATAGTGCCCTCTAGACAGAATGCTGATTGAATGGTTAGCAAACTATTCTCTATTTTCATGTTCTGCATCCTCCTCACCAAAAGTTCTCTTTATTGCAGTGTTTCCCACTAATCTCATGTTATGAAAGATTCTGTCTGGCAAGAAAACAGCACATCTT